GAAGAAAACATACCCACTAATGCGTAATCTACCTCTTCTAGAGTTTCCATCGTAGTAACAAACAAAGTCGCACTAGTCAGCAACCAAAGTGTCTTAAGATATTCAACCAAAAACCTGAAACTACAGGACCTGAGCAAATTATTAAGAAATCTCAGCTATCATTCAACGAATCTGCGTTCAACAACTATGAAAACAGGTCCCACCGAGCCATTAAAACTCAAGAACATGATGTACCAGGTGTCCGAAAGCTGCCAGTAAAACTGTATGTAAACGAATTAATCTGACAAAAAGCATACTAGATAAGTTCCACGCACTTCGCAAAAGACTATTAGATCTAGTGGTCAAAAAATAATTACCTTGAAGAGGTTACAGCACATCAGATCTTCGTCTTCTTGGCACAAACAATTTTCGCCGAATTTGCTCAGTGCATGCCTTTCGCAATCAGGTGATCTTCTTCAGTTAATTTCAACATATATCAGCATACTGAAATAGCTTCAGTGGGAGGGTATCAAGTTACAGAGGTTCAAGTGTAATCCAGTCTCTCATTGAAGGGGATTCATCTTCATCCTCAACCGGTGGTTTCCGCAAAGAAAGTCTTCTCAATTTTTGGCAAAATTCCACTTAGCTGACAATTTGATTTATAACACTTCAATGAAAAATTTTCGGCATTGGGGTTTCGAATGTCCGCGTCTAGTCGCTGAAGGTACTGCTGGGGTTGCTGTTTTGGCCCAATAGACCATCTGAAGACTGTTCAAAAGAAGCTGAGATGAATTTTCATGGGCATGACGTTACTTTTAAAGAACGTAATTTGTAACCACGTGTCGCGGCCGTCTGCGTCATCCATACTTTTTAAAACACTTCCATTGTTTTTATAGGGGATTAGATATGCGTCAAACGTATGGAACTTTTGGATTTTTGAAAGCACAGAAGTAATTAAGTTAATTAAGTCAGGTAAAGCGGGTAGCCATGTTGAGAACTGTAAAGGTAACATAATCCCTTTTGAAGGCATTCAATTAAAACTGAGAGTTAAAGCCATCTCGAGCTTTTACGTTTGGACAATTTAAAATTTTTTATTACTTCGTGCCCAATTTTTGGTGTTTTTCACTTTTAGCTTTCAAGTGATTTTTACTATCTTTTCCACTGTTACAGTATCCGTTGTTCAAAAATAAAGTTAGTACTTTGATTCTCCATCACAAGATAGGAACTTAAGCTATAAAACAGAGAGCTAGGATACTAACGTAATGAGGGTAGACTAGAGCTCAGAGAGAATAGCAGATTACGTTCCTGTGGAGGTAATCTTCCTAAATTAAGAACAACACCACGGATTCTATCTGAAGAGGCAATTTGTTCAAAACTGTTTATTGCAAAACACTAGTTAAAATACAAGGAAGATTAGAAAATTTGAAAGGTAAATATCGCTTTGATCGTCCCGGCCTTCATCAAAAAAATTTAGGAAGGGTTTCCTGTCGCGATTGCACGCCAAAGGTCACACTCCTTGAGGTGCGCACCCTGCCCTGGTCAGAGAGGTACGCTTTTAGAGGTCAGCTAGGAGATAATTTTGCCTGAGGCAAATAAGGGGGAGTAAAGATCACTGTTGAAATTAGGAAATTTCTTCCACTGTCGTAATTATCGTCGCAGTTTACGGTTGTAAATTCAACTGCGATGAATATTTTCTTTTGTTTGTTGGATTCGCTTTTTCCGTACGTTGTAATACGTGCCCATTGGTTTCTGTAGCTTCATTTCGGGTTCAGATTTGTTTGATTTGGTGCGTTGTATTTTGTACTTGGTTTGACTTCCCTGATGTTTGTCTATATTTATGTTTGGTTTTTTTTCAGTATCGTAATAGTTGAGTGTTAATGAATAAATTAAGGAATTTCCTAACAGTCGCGAAGAAGCAGTTATGCTTTAGGTCCAGCTTAGATCAAATACCGCTCCAGTATGGCAGGGTGGCAACGTAGAGGTCGTCGGTTGTTGCCAGAGTTGTCTGTACCAAAGGTATAAGTGATATTTCTCAATTTGAGTAGCAATACCCAGAGTAAGTACAAAACATCAAGCTACAGTAATTCAGCTCTCTTAAGTGGTGCGGTCTGATAAAAAAATAAGCGCTTAATTACTTCTTACACAAGTGCAAAGAAGAAGAAAGTCTTCCAAGAAGACATACAGAGGAAACGCTTTTGCAAACGTTTTCCCGGCTTCAATACTCTTGTCGATAGTCGCGTCAGTTCTTAACAGCATTGAGTTACATTTTGTACGGTAGGGTTCAGCTTTGATTGTTCAATACGTTTTTACATAAAACAGAGAAGTTATGATGATTACCCAATTTCTTTGGTTGCTGAAGATTACCCAATTTCTTTCGTTGCTGAAGATCGAATTTAGACCTTATTCAAGTCACGTGCTCAACTTTCCTTATGGAAATAGAAGAGAGAGAGAGAGAAAATAGAAAATAGACAAAATAGAATCTAGGACTGGTGGAGGAACAGGACGATCATAGCAAAAGCCCATGCAAAAAGATACAAATTGACTTACCGAGTACAAGAATATTGGTCAACAGGAATGGCTCAGTACACGCAGGCACAAAAAACGAAATACGGATGGAGATCATATTTGGATATTGTCATGGATGGGCTACAAATGCAACAACGCTTATACGACGCACAGATCCAGACTTTGAACAATCGTTTGCCAGCATCAGGACAAGTAGTCAATCTAAAAGTGACCACGCTTTCTGAAGGGGAACTGTCTTACGAAAATTATTTCTTAGCAAGAGAATACGAGCAAAACG